TAGAGGAGATTAACTGGTGGCCAAATGTATATCCGCCCACTCTGAAAAATCATGTTCACCTGTGGGAATAACCAGGCATTAGGGCTGCGTAGCCTCCATTACTGAGTATGTGTTTGAAACTTCTGTCAGCATGCTGGCCCCCAGGAAATACCTTACTCTTGCCCCCAGGTCGCATTTTTCTCAATTTTCAAAACTATCTTAAATGGGGTTTTCTTTATTTATTGTTCATTATTTGCCTTCATGATTGTTTCCCGACCTTTCACTCTGAGACTTTGTCTCTTGACAAGCAGTAGAAAATTGGGTTTTGTTCCCTGACCCATCCAGCCATTCAGTGCCTTTTGTAGCGGATGTAGTCCACTGAAATTTAGGGAAATTGTTGGTATTAAGGAATTTGTTGCCATTTTTCTAAGAGGATTTTGGTCATTTCTGCTATCAAACATTTTTATTATTATTATGTTTTTTGCTTTTTGGGTCACACTCGGTGACATACAAGGGTTACTCCTAGCTTTGCACTCAGGAATTACTCCTGGCAGTACTCAAGGAACCATATGGGATGCTGGGAATTAAACCCAGGTCGGTCGCATGCAAGGCAAATGCCTTGCTCGCTGTACTATCACTCCAACCCCTTATCAAACATTTTTAATAGGAGGCCATTCAGTGTTTCTTGCAGAACTGATTTATGTACAACAAATGTCTTCAGCAGCTGTTTGTCTGAAAACGTTTGTATCACTCAAGTCTGAGGGTTACCTTACAAGGTAATTAATTCTTTCCAATCAGTACTTTGAATATATTTCAATTCTCCTTATGCTTATAGTTCATTTGAGAAATCTGATGTGAATTTTAATGTCTTTCCTTGCATTTGAGGCTTTGTTTCTTACTTGTTGCTATAAGCAATCTATTTCTCTCTTCAGTTCTTGCCATTTTGATTACATCCTGGTGCGGTCCTGTTTGACCCTATTTGGGCCAGAGTTAGAGCACAAACCTCCCTTCTCAGGCTGGGGAATTTCTCATCTATTATCCTCCCAGCAGCTGTTTTTCCCTTCTTCTCTTTCTATTCTCTAAGAAATCCTAAGATTTGTAGATTGTTCATTAAATATCTCAAATTTTGTTCATTTTTAAAATTTGTCTTTTTTTTTATTAGTGAAACACCATGAGGTACAGTTGTAGATTTACAATTTTTTGTGCTTGGGTTTGATTATACAATAATCAGATACCCATCCCTCCACCAGTGCAAAATTTGTCTTTTATTACCTGTTTTTTATTGATGATGTGGCGGACCCAATCCTCAGGGTCACTAATTCATTTCAGCTTATTCTATTCTGCTACTGGGTTCTGCTACTAGAGTTTTCAGTTCCTTCAATTGTTTCAATGAATTATTTCCATAAATTCTCTTAGTTTCTTGGTTTTTCTTTGTGTCCCTCAGATTACTGAACATTGAGGGGAATTGATCTATTGTCATCCTTGGGCAGTGTCAAAGGCTCTCATTTTTTTAAAATTTTGGGTCACAACCAGTGATGCATGGCTCATGCACTCGGGAATTACTCCTGGCGGTGTTCAGGGGACCATATGGGATGCTGGGAATCTAACCCGGGTCAGTCATGTGCAAGGCAAACGTCCTAATCAATGTGCTATTGCTCTAGCCCCGGGCAGTGTCAAAGGTTATGATGTAATTAATAACTTCCTTGGGCTTCTCTATGACAATCTATTGATAAAGCACAGTTCCTTTGTTTTCATCAATTTTCTTGATGCTTTGTGGGCATTAAGGGTGAAATCTGAGTTCCAAGTAGATTCTTGTAGGATCAATCTGGTGTGTGGCTCTTATTTATAAATATATATACCTGGTTGGAAATGGGATCTGTGGCACCCAAGCACTGTGTCTGCTTTAGTATCAGGGACTGGCTAGCCTAGACTCTGGCCTAGCCTTCACAGTGCTGGCATCTTGTAGCTAATGTGGCATTGCCGTCCAAATGACTTGGCAGTGAATGCAGACTGTGGTCACGTGAACACAATCATAGCTGCTCAGCAAGTGATCTATCGTGCCTCAGGGATGGATTCTCCCTGCTATAGTCTAGAGACAGCTGTAGCCTATCTATGCTATACTGCCAACTCTGAGTCTCTTTCTGACAGGGTGGGTATAGGGACCAAACTGAATCTGTTTGAATCCTTTTCATTAAGTATTCTCCAACTCAGAAGGAAACAGAATGTTGGTGCATCCACTTTGAGAGAGCTCCCTTTGGTTCTGAATTGGCTACCACTACAATCTTGTGGATTGTGCTACTTGTGGTCGGTAAAGAAGGGTGGGATCTATCCGGGCAGAGCTGAGACTGTGAAGTAGCTGGGTGGGTAAGACTGTGAACTTGTAGGGGTGGAGCTGTGCTACAACCCTCCTGCTGGGTGGTGCTCCCCTCCAAGATGATAGCTCCTAAAGGGCCCTGATATGGTTGTTACCACCTTTTGTTGGGCTTAAGAAATCCTAAGGCTCTGCAGCTAGGGAGGTCCTATTATACAGAAAATAATTCTGTGGAAAAAAAATCTCATCATTTACAGGAATCTGTTCAGGGGATGTGTTGGTGGGGATGGTGTCAGACAGGGCTATGTCCACTCAGGTTTGGGAAGAGTTGAGACTGCAACTGACCAGGCATGCCTAACCTTGGAATGCCCCACCCTTTGGTCTAATAAGAGCTGGGAGTGACAGTCTGCCATGATGTGCTGCTGAGAGCTACGTTAGTGAGTCCTGCTTTAAACTGATGATCCTGTGTGCTCGGCAACCTCCTGCGCCAGGTTGGGTTTTCTATCAGGTAACAGACTAGTAGTCCCTTATCTCTTAGAGACTCTGCTTCTCCAATCCCCCGACACAGGGGAAGTGCTACTTAACTCTGAATTCTTAGAGTAGAGTCTCTCTGCAGTGATAGCCATTTTCTCCGAGTAATTCTCTCAGAGAGAGAACTTTCCTATGATGCTGTGCTTCATTCAGTTTTTATGGGTTCTTGGTGCTGTTGCAACAGGAACTCTCACAGAAATGTTTGTTTTTGGCCATAACAGCCCCACCCTCCTGCGTATCAATACTGGATTTTTTTAGTAGACCAATCTTTTATTTTTTTTGCTTTTTAGGTCACACCCGGCGATGCATAAGGGTTACTCCTGGCTCTGCATTCAGGAGTTACTCCTGGCGATGCTCAGGGGACTATATGGGATGCTGGGAATTGAATCCAGGTTGGCTGCGTGCAAGGCAAATGCTCTACCCGCTGTGCTATCTCTCCAGCCCCAGTAGATCAATATTTTTTAAAATATCAAATTCTGCTCTAAATTAGGAATCAACAATGCCTATTTTAGATAAGATTTTCTAACAACAAAATTTGTCAATTCATTTGCTCATTCTGCATGTAATATATTACTGAAACTTGCTAAGAACTATATTGGGTCACGGTCCTCCCGTTGTTCATCGATTTGCTCGAGCGGGCCCAGTAACGTCTCCATCGTGAGACTTGTTGTTACTGTGTTTGGCATATTGAATACGTCATGAGTAGCTTGCCAGGCTTTGTCATGCAGGCGAGATACTCTTGGTAACTTGCTGGGCTCTCCGAGAGGGGCAGAGGCATCAAACTCAGATCGCTTTGCCGTGCGGGCAAGATCCTCTCGGTAGCTTGCCGGGCTCTCCGAGAAGGGAGGAGAAATCGAACTCAGGTCGGCCATGTTGGCTGCATGCAAGGCAAATGCCCTACCTCCTGTGCTATGGCTCGAGCCCAAGAACTATATTAAGCAAAGAAAATATATACAGGTACATTTCCTCAACTTTGGATGATTTATGATTTATCAAGAAAATTTCTTTTTGGGAAAAAATTACTTTTGGCTTTTGGGGCATGCCTGGATGTACTAAGAGATCACTCCTAGCTCTATGCTGGGGGATAACTCCTGGAAATGATCGGGGGAACATAGTGCCAAGTTTCAAACTAGGATCCGTTACATGCGCCTCTTCTAACTTTCCAGCCTGTGAAATTATTTTTAATGAACATGGATGCAAGTTGAAAAGGGTCTTATCAATATGAGCTTAATAGTTCTACAATTTGGAAACTCATTTCCCTTATGGTGACTTTGTGAACTACAGAAAGGATAATTTCACAGATAATGGTTATTTATTATCATTCTAAAATGTCACCCAATACCCCTGAATTTCCTCCATAGAATCTCTGACAATCAATTAAACTTCTGCTTGAATACCTCCCTGATTTCTCCACTCACTCCTAAAGCAGTTTTTAATTTGTTTTATCACAGTTTAAACAGACTTAAACCCATACCATTCTTCATTTAAGAATGTCACTGCAAAGGAACAAAGAAAGAAACACTATTTGAGTATTATCAACTGATAGGTCAGTGAGTGAGGGCTAGATTCTCTAAAGGGAGGGCAGAGGGACTCAGGCTGATCTGAGATGCAAGAACTTCAAAAGAAGTTGAATAAAACTAATTGCCAGTGTTTGGTAGTAGAATATACTCCTTATGTATTGACAGCTAATGTCCAGTATATTAATAGCACTAATGTATTTATATATTCTCCCAGGTCTCTCAATATTAATAATGTCTTAAGAGACTGAATAATGCACATTTAACAGAGACTAAACGATCTGTGTTGGCCAATTTTTTGTTTCCCAGGATATTGAAATAATTTATGTTAGTTCTGCTGTAAGTAACAGCGTTTCTCTATCTCTCCCTATCCTGTATGTGAGTAACAGGCTAAGTACACGATGGTTAGGTTGGTATAAACATTAACGATCCAGGATACTTAGGAACTATCTGCCAGTCAATGATAAATAAACATACCATGTCTTTTTCTCAATCTGACAGGAAATACCTTTTAATTAACCTGGCCCAATTACTTCAGAGCTCTAAATCTAGGACCTCTACCAGAAAATTAAACCTCTAGGGCTGTTTCAATCTCTCTTTTTCACTCCAAACCTAGTTTTTTTTTTAAAAAAAAAAAGTTATTCCTGTTCCCAAAGACTCACAGATTTTGTGTGCTCTGGGCGTGGAGCAATCACTGGCGGTGGGGTAGCATCGTCGTCATCATCATCTTCATCTTCAGAAACTGGTGGCACTTGAGGAGTCTCAGACACTGTTTTCACATTCTGCCCAAGGGAGAAAAGGGATTCATGAGTCCAGTGACATGGAACTTTAGCTTTAGCTACCAGGGTCACTGCTTCTCCCAAGGAAATGTCACTGTCACTTCTTCAGAAACTCCCCAAGCTTACTCCCATGAACTCAGTTTCCCTCTTCATTTAGCTAATCGTATGCACACAGTCCCTTAAAGCTTCCCACCCACAGTCACATTGCAGAATGAAAAATCAGCTAATAGCTCTCTACTTGATTTCCCTCAATCCAATCCCTGAGAGAAATTTCACAGATCCTGGTTTTATGAATTTTACTTTCTACGTTGAAAAAGATTTAATATAGGGAAGGAATTAAAATTTAGGAATTTTTTTAACTTTGTTGTTTAAAAAAGTACCAACACAGCAATACAAATTTAAAATTAAAAGGTCAAAGAAAAATCTTATGCAAGTTAAATATTATAAAAATAAAGGGATGACAGAAAAAGAAACAGTTAAAACAGTTCTCATATCACTGGATGAGAAATGTGGCTAAAGAGGTAGTGCGTGCACCTACATGTATAGGTACATGTGCCTTTGCATGTGTGACTTACATGGCTCAATCCCCAGCACTATTGAGATTTTGCTTCTCTGCTGCCATCACATTACTTGCATGGCTTCCCAACCCCATACCTCCACCACAAGACAGACTTTGAATATTTTGTTCTTTGGGGCTGGAGTGACAGCACAGCGGATAGGGCGTCTGCTTTGCACACGGCCCTGAGCACTGCCAGTAGTAATTCCTGAGTGCAGAGCCAGGAATAAACCCTGTGCATCGCTGGGTGTGACCCACAAAGAAAAAAAAAAACAGAAATTTTCTTTTCTTTATCAAAACCTACTGAACTTACTATGCATCAGGTCTCCTCACTTCAACCTGAAGCCAGAGATACTCAGGATATCTTTTTCAAAGGACAATGAGAACCTTCTGAGAAAGAATGCCATCCACTTCACTAAGCTTTTGCCCTATCCTGAGATGAATCTTAATAGCCGTACTAATTGAATCTGCTATAATCTCTGCTATTTGACTTTCCCATGCAAACTGTAATCAAGTGAAGAGCTGTAGATTTAGAGGGTCCAAAATCCACAGGTTTTTGAAGGTCCAAACAAAAACATGATACTATTACTATTTGCAACACAGACTCAAGAGATAAAAGTTGCTCCAAAAACACAAAACATCTGTGTTTACGACACATATTCAAGAGACAAACATACTGTTATTATAATAGAAGTTAAGTTATTATAACATAGGACCATAGAGAAGCAATAGAAATCATTCCATATATGCTTAGCTAATAATTCAATAGTTTTGGAGTATTTCCAGAGAAATTTCATTGTTCCCAATAAGGTCTTACTTATACTTACTTATACTACCGATGTAAAGGTACAAAGATGGAAAAGATAGCTCATGACCTAAAGCAGCTTACCATTTGATATAGAAGATAGAGAATGAATTTTCTTTATATCTTTTTTTATGGACTCCAGAAAGAAGAAAAGTCAGGAGTCAGACTGATAGGGGAAAACTAGGCTAACATGTGGGAAACTAGCCTTTGCCACATTTGACATACTAAAGTAAGGACATCTGTTAACTGCATCAATTCTACCATGCTTTCAGTATAAGGCATAACTTAAAAACTGATAGTGAGTAGGACCATTGTTCAGATGCTAGAGGACATAATTAGCATGGTCAGATGTCCAAACTACATAACCCATTAAGCAGTACGAGGTGAAACCCTGGTGACCCTCAAGACAACTAAACCCAAGCATCACTAGGAGTGATCCACCTGCAAAAGAAAAATAATGAGACTGTTTCTCCACTGTCCCCTCCTCTGAATGAGGGACATGATATATGTGAGTCATATATATATATATATATGTATATATATATATATATTTGGTGGTAGGAACTACCTCGGGATACACCGACAAGGAAAAGCATGCAGAGTGAAGATTCCACTCTTCCTAGAGAATCAATAGCATGGAATTTAACCCTTGAGGCAAAGAAATGTATTCTCTTCCAACATAGACTTTTGCTTTTCTCCCTTCCTTAGACTTGATGTAGAAAGATCTGTAGTTAACTCAGGGCCTGATCTCCTTTCTCAGGAGTTCTCAAGTAGGCAGTCTACTTTTTCTTTATTTAGAATATCCGGTTTAAATTTAAAATAAAATCATGCTGCTGTTTTCTCACTACAAGACGAAGGTTGCCCTGATTTTCCAATGTAGAATTCTAATTAATTTATTTTTAAAAATGACCCAAGACTTTTCCCCATGCATCTTCTAACCATTCATTTTCTCTACAGCTGCTCTAATCCTTCTGGGAGACTTCTCTTTGACATGTTTTAAGTCCTGATTTCTTCTGCTCTGTTCAATCTTATTTGCATCCTATTTTCCATGAATTACTAACATTGATCCATTTATGTACCAATTTTGCTTTGGAGTATTATTTTAATTTTTCTTTTCCAGGCGATCTTTTCTGAAAAATTAGAAATTTGAGGACTGGGAACATAGCTCAAGAAGAAAAATAGACAAGTGGGTTGATTATACTACACTTACCCAATTACTAGAAGAATCTTTTGAAAATATTCTAATATTTAGACTAAATTGCATGTCCAACTACATCAATTTCTGATTTAAAATATTTCTTATCGGGGCTGGAGCAATAGTACCAGCGGGTAGGGCATTTGCCTTGCATGCGGCTGACCCAGGTTTGATCCCTGGCATCCCATACGGTCCCCCAGCACCACCAGGAGTAACTCCTGAGTGCAGAGCCAGGAGTAACCCCTGAGCATTGCTGGGTGTGACTCAAAAAAGAAAAAAAATTAAATTAAATTTAAAAAATAAAATACTTCTTACCTACTGCAAAAAAAAAAATCTTATTCTTTGGTCAGTTGTGATAAATCCTGAACTGACTTCTGTTCAAGCTTCCCCGACAAAAAAGCATTTTTTTCCTAAATATTATCAATTATCAACACCTATAATTTACCTAGTTTAAATTTACATTATAAACTTTACATATCATAAATTCTCCTTGTATCTACTGAATCCTCACCAAATTAGAGATTGAGATATTGATGTACTGCCATAGAGGCAGGCTGGGGTGGGTGGTGCTTTGAGGGGTGTGGGAGTGAAACTGGGGATTCTGGTGCTGGGAAATTACACTGGTGGAGGGATGGGTGCTAGAACACTGTATGACTGAAACCCAATCATGAACAGATTTGTAATGTTCTACCTCACAGTGACTCAATAAAATAAAAAACTAATGTTGAAATATAAATATAGGGGCTGGAGCGATAACACAGTGGGTAGGGCATTTGCCTTGCACATGGCCGACCCGGGTTTAATTCCCAGCATCCCATATGGTCCCTTGAGCACCGCTGGGAGTAACTCCTGAATGTGGAGCCAGAAGTAACCCCTGTGCATGGCCAGCTGTGACCCAAAAAGAAAAAAAATTAAAAATAAATAAAATATAAATAAAGCTGTGCTGTACAGTATTCATACATCTCTATTCTTAAATTGCTTCTTCTAATCTGTCATTAATATTTTCCTCAAAGACTGAGCAAGCACATATTCAAATTTAACCCAGACTTTTAAAAAAGTAACAAGTTAAATATTTGTCACCATCACTGTAAGTGTCCTCCCACTGTTCACTGATTTGCTCGAGGGCACCAATAACGTCTCCATTGTGAGACTTGTTACTGTTTTTGGCATATCGAATATGTCACGGGTAGCTTGCCAGGCTTTGCCATGGGGTGGAACACTCTTGGTAGCTGGCCAGGCTCTCCAAGAGGGGCGATGGAATTGAACCCGGGTCAGCCGCGTACAAAGCAAATGCCCTACCTACTGTGGGAGGGTAGCACTGTAGCACTGTCCTCCCGTTGTTCATCGATTTGCTCGAGCGGGCACCAGTAATGTCTCACAACAAATTGTGAGACTTGTTGTTACTATTTTTGGCATATTGAATACATCACGGGTAGCTTGCCAGGCTTTGCTGTGCGGGCAAGATACTCTCAGTAGCTTGCCGGGCTCTCTGAGGGGATGGAGGAATCGAACCCGGGTCGGCCACGTGCAAGGCAAAGCTATGGTAATGTACTGAAGAAAAAATATTGGGGGCCTATCAAGTCTGCCGGAGGGGAAAGGGTGTTGCCCCATTCGCCCTCTCCTCTCTGGAAAGAAAGATGGCGGCCACATGGGAGCCTTGTGGACAGCAGGTATGAGCCGGGAGTGTGGGGGCGACTAAAACCTCATGGGAAGGGGGGCGTTTCGGTCCGCCCTTCACGCCCTACCGAGGCCACCAGTTGCCCCCACGAGCGGCTCTCCAGCACGGCCACAGCCCCAGAAGCACAATGACCTAATGCAGAACCCAGCAGCTTGGAGCAGAAAAGTGAAAGGACTATGCGTTAATCCAGGCAATCATTTCTGCCCAGAGGGAAAAGGGTGTTGCTCCCTTCCGCCCTCCTCCCTCTGGAAAGAAAGATGGCGGCCACATGGGAGCCTTGTGGACAGCAGGTATGAGCCGGGGGTGTGGGGGCGACTAAAACCTCATGGGAAGGGGGGCGTTCTGGTCCATCCTTCACGCCCTACCGAGGTCACCAGTTGCCCCCCGCGAGCGGCTCTCCAGCACGGCCACGGCCCCAGAAGCACAAGGACTTAATGCAGAACCCAGCAGCTTGGAGCAGAAAAGTGAACGGACTATGCATTGATCCAGGCCATCAAGTCTGCCGGAGGGGAAAGGGTGTTGCCCCATTCGCCCTCTCCTCTCTGGAAAGAAAGATGGCGGCCACATGGGAGCCTTGTGGACAGCAGGTATGAGCCGGGAGTGTGGGGGCGACTAAAACCTCATGGGAAGGGGGCCGTTTCGCTCCGCCCTTCACGCCCTACCGAGGCCACCGGTTGCCCCCCCCGCGAGCGGCTCTCCAGCACGGCCAGGACTCCAGAACACAGAAACCAATTTCTTAACTATCTGACTTTCAGTAGAAATACTTCCAGGGTCAATAGGTAAAAGAGCAGAAATCCAAAACCAACATTTAATTCTTGAACCCAGCCGTAGAAAGCAAATCACTTCACAATGCTTTTTCAGCATGTCTGATTTGGGGGGGGGGGTAAACTCTAAATAATAGTGGTGAATCTTTTATTGAAACAATGAATCTAATCAAAGCAGATAGAGTGTTAACTAGAATTCATCTGCCTCACAGGGACGGGGAGGGGTGGGGGTTGGGTTTTTATTGGGGTTCTTCATGGTAAAAAATAAGTATTGGTAAAGGGAAATGTGTTTGATATTTGCATGACTGAGACATAAACCTGAAAGCTTTGTAACCTTTCCCACAGTGATTCAATAAATTAAAAAAAAAATATTGAAAAAAAAAATATTGGGGGCCTCTCAAGTGGTACTCAAGGGAGTACAGCTCCCTCCCAGTGATTCTCAGTTACCCTAAGAGTCACCTGTGAGATGAGGTGCTATTCACACTCTGCAGTTAACTGGATTAACTGGGCCACCTTGGCAGTGATCAGGGGACCTCTCCGAGGCCACATCCAATAGTGGCTGGAGGTTCTCCAAGACTATGCCTGGTATTGTTCATGAATTACATGGTGCTGGGAGCTGAACCAGAATGGATTATATGGAAGGCACGCACCATAACCCCTGTACCTTGTAGTACCAATAACTGAAAGAAAAAAAAGTGGTACTGAAGATAAAACCAAGGGTCTCACACATGCCAGGCCTGATTTCTACTACTGAGCCACAACCCCAGTCAAGAATTGAATTTTTAAAATTGGTTTATGTTACCAGTTCACTCCAGGGTAGTGATCAAGTTACTGATTTCTCTCTCAATTCATAGCATTTGGAGAACAACATCCAGTGGTACAGCAGATCCAACCCAGAGCAGATTTGACGCAGGGCTTCTGCAGCACCCCAGCCCTTTCTTTGAGTCTTCTCAGACCTAAATCTTTTTTTTTATCTTCTTTTTTTTGTCTTTATAAACACAGACCACACCTAGCTCTGTGTTCAGGGATCACTTGTGGGGTGCCGGGGACCATATGTAGAGTCAGGAATTGAACCTGGGTTGGCCACATGCAAGGCAAGTACTTATCAGTTGTACTATCACTCCAACCCCTTCAACCTCAATTTTTTAACTTGGGTTGTAGGGATGACAATCCTGTCCAATTACTTTCCACTTATACAGAAGGATCAATGTGAAACCAAGATGAGAAACAATGGAATGTCATCACAAAATAAGTCAAGTCCTCCACATAAAAAAGTAAGGAAATAGTGTGCACTAAGCACAGTGAGCAATGTTCTAAACTGGGGATAAAAAAAAAAGTGCTTGGCAAGAACTGGTCTTCAGTAGGAAGCCTGACACTGGGGTGGGGGGCAGAGGAGGTGTGCGATAAATTAGGGAACTCTAGGACAAAGGGAGAGAGGAAGAGTCTGTCACAGCAGCAGGCTGGGGACTTGGAGAGAAGCTGGGGGCTCACTGGTGGAGGACAGAGGACACTGGTTAAGGGATGGGTATTGGAACAATACACACCTAAAACTCACTTATAAATACCTTGGTAACTTTGTGATTCACAGTCATTCAACCAAAAAAAAAAAGTCCTTGGCAGCCTGAGAGGTTCTAAGTGTACTCGACCAATACAGGTTTCGCCCAAGCAGCTGTTATCCTGTCTGCCATATGGCACAAGCTCCAGGGCGTCTCCTCTTCCCTAACAAACAGTAAAGCTATAGTTCTACTGCAGTGTCCCTTCAAAATCTCTCGAATAAGGGCTTTCTCAGTTCCCTGCCATGATGAAAAGAATCCTGGACTTGGAGTCAGAAGACCCTGGAGACCCTAATCTGGTTCTACCAGCAGAGATAATTATGAATCTTCAGAAAAGTCTATTTTTATATCTGTGAATTGGGGGTGGTGATTTTCCTTCACACGGTAATTTTAAGGATTAATTACACTAACATATATAAAGCTCTCAGCCCAAATTAGCTATTCAGTAACAGCCACCCTTCCTCTAATAAAAGCATAATGACATCTGAGCAGTAGCTCAGATTTGTTCAGGGACCTTATTCAATAATTCACAATTCAATAATACATATATCTTATCATTTGCAAATTCTTCCCCATCCTTTAATCATTTCTTTTATATCTGATGAAAAGTAGAATAAATCAGGGAAAACCAGTACTTCCCATTGCATTACCTCTTCTTTAGTACAGTTTTATCATCTATAAGACAAATATAATAACCGATCTCACTTAACTCCTGTGAAGATTAAAGAGGGAATAAAAAAGGATGCAGTATATTATAAGGCATTAAAAAATTAATATTTTTTAAAACACTAGGAGTATAAATGACTCAGTATATCAATCTACATTGGTGGAAGAATGCTTCAAAATATTGTGATGGTGATTCAGGATTATGTCTCCTCCTTCTGTTCTCTTTTTAAAATCTTTCAATCGCTTCTTACGCCCTTTAAGATGAAGTTAAAACTCCAACCTGACCTGACTGTCACTCTTCATTATCTACCTCTTCACACTTAACATTCTAAGTTAACATTCTAATCTAACATTCTTGTAGTTCCCTCTACAAAATACTTCATAAGCCTCCATGACTTTGTACATATTATTTATTCTCTATCTGAGATACTGTGCTTCAATTCTTACCCTAGAGCACTAACATATTCAGCTTCGACAACAGTCATCAAGAAGTTTTCTCTCATATATCCAATCTTTCATAAAGTAAATCATTACTTGTATAAAGCCATGGATAGAGCAATGTCAGACACAGACTGGAATTGCAACTTACTGGTAGAGAATATGTTCTGCACGTTGAAGACGTTGGTTCCAGCCCCAGTACCACACATAGAAAAATTATGTTAAGACAGTCTTTGTGTCTTCCTATCTCTCACATTATGGAAGGTTCTAAGGAAATGGGACAATGCCTGACTCATGTCCATATTGTCTGTTCTCCATGTAGGATCTTGCATAAAGTAGGGACATTATAAATGTTAGTAAATCAACATGACATATCACATTACTTTGATTCTTAACCACTACATCTGTACACTATCAGAACAGGATTTTAAAAAAAACTTACCAAATTGTTAGTGGAATTATAGTCCTCAGCTAATTTATCTGGAAAGGGAAAAAAGATACAGGGGACTCAGTAAATAATTGTAGTCACTTCATTCTCAAAAACGAAGAGAATCTATTCAAATGTTTACCAAGCTCAGAGGACAGCAATTATTAATAAAATGTCTGTCACTGTTGGCCTGACAACATCCTTAAGCACATCAAAACATTAGTTCTTTAAGTTCTCACTTCATCTTCAAATAGTTATTATTTAGTCCACTTTTACAGACTTGTAAACTAGGTTCAGAAAAGTAAAGAAATTTTCCCAGGCTATACACAAATTAAGTACACGTCAAGATGTGAATCCCAGTGAAATTTAATATAGGTTACGCTATATTGGAACCTCATCCAAAATATCAGCTATATCATCACCAGAAAATTTCCTTAATTCTAAGAGGATGAGAAAGAATTCATGACTGGCATAGTCCTAAGCCATCCATGATAAATCATGACCAAACTGAAAGCTTCAGTTTTTAGAAAGAATTCTTCAACATTCAAGCCTATTCCCCAAAGGGAAAGAAAGAATAAGGCTCAGGAAAAGAGAGGAATTAATCATGTCAAGTCTAATTAAGGACAAGGTCTTGTTTCTAAGAACAGATTCAGCTTTCTCAATGAAGCAATTATTATATTTCATTGATTCTGAAATAGACATTTTTCCACACTAAAATCACCAAGAAATATATGTATCCTACAATTAAACAGAGTTCATGGCTTAACTGACAACAATTTTGCGGGGATGGATATGGAGCAAAGATCCGATGGAGAGTTCAGAAAGAAAATAAATTTAAATGCTCTCTTGGAGGGATTGTTTTTAGTGAAATAAAATAGATTTATTAGGGGAAGATATTAATTCTAAGGAAAATATAATGAGTAACTTAAGCAGAGAAAAAGGAATAAAGGTCAAAAATCAAAGACAGATTAAGCACCCAGAGTTGGGATGCAGGTGATCCTAGCAGAATGCCGTGTGGATGAACCCAACCTTTCGTAAAATTTACTGTGCCAGGCAGCTAACTCAAATCTTATGCATGAAGGGACACACTGCCACTGAGCCACTTCCCCTGATAAATACTCTCAATGTCATTCCTAAACACTTGCAAATAAAATACAATTTTATTGTTTTTCCTTTCCCTTCATTTCTAACAGTCCAATAAGAAAATAGTTTCACTAGTCACCACCAGTGATGTTATGGAGGGAAAATATTGTACCAAATCCAAAATAAATCTTACAAAGAACTAAGACTAAGAAATTTCCATTATCCCAGTTCCATTACTTAAGAGAGTGGTAGATACTTTTATCCTAAAGAAAATGAACCCACAAAACAGGAAATAAGGTAGACTGTGATAATGTGTTCCTAAGAAAATGTTTTCCACAACTCATCTGACAAAGAGTTAATATGCAAGATACACAAAGCCTTGGTAGAATTTAACAAGAAAACTCAAGGAACCCCATCAAAAATGAGAGAAAGATGACCAAAACTTCTTCAAAAATGAATAGAAATGGCCAAAAGGTATATGAAAAAAATGCTTAGCATCACTCATCATCAGGAAAACGCAAATCAAAACAACGATATAATCACCTCACGCGAGAGAAACACACAAAGTTTAAAATAAAGCCAGTCCGTGGTGGTAGAAAATGGGCACTGGTGGAGGGATGGGTGTTTGATCATTGTATAATTGAAACCCAAGCACAAAAATTTGTAAATCTGCAACTGTACTTCATGGTGTTTCACTAATAAAAATTTTTTTAAAAAGATATTAAATAAAACATGATGTAGCACTGTAAAAAAATAAAAATAAAATAAAATAAAATAAAGCCAGTGCTGGTGGGAATTTGGGGGAAAAGGAACTCTTTTTCACAGTTAGTGGGAATGTCAACTGGACCAGCCTCTGAGGAAAACAAACTGTATTCAAAAAAGACATTTGCACTTCTATGTTCATTGCAACAATATTCTTTCAGTAAAACTATTTTGCCTCACCTCTTCCTGAAATTCTTTGCTTCAAGGTGATAGCCCTGGAACACCTGTATTGAGATACTTTTAAATTTTTTTTCCTGGAAAAAATTTAAACGACTGAAATGCCTTGGAAAGACATACTTACAATCAGGCACCATCAGTCTAATTGGCCACTAAGTGAGAATTTTATTTTTTCAATTCATCCATCACTTTGCTGCTCAAAAGAATACAGATTCACAAACTGTATCAACTGTTTTTTGTTACTTAATGTCAATTAACTCAAAAATACAATGGCCCATTTAATCATCAAAGCCAGCATAGCAGAAGAAAGTATAAGTGCTGAAATAAGAAAACCACAGGCAGAAATGAAAAGTAAGGTAGATGATATTTTTGAAAAATCAACACAGGTTCTGAACAGACTAACAAAGACTAAGCAAAAGATCAAAGAATTCCAAGATGAGATGAAGGAAGCCACTCGGAAACAACAAAAGGAGGTAAATAATCTGAAAATAAATAGACAGCCTCACCAGAGGACTACGGCATGGGTTTTAAAGAAACAATATAAAAGCCTTCAGAGACACTGAAGAACTGGAAGGCATGTTTGCTGAAGAAACAATAATTGAGTCATCAGTAAGAATTTTCCAGGGGCCGGAGCGATAATACAGCTGGTAGGGCATTTGCCTTGCATGCAGCCGACCCGGGTTTAATCCCCGGCATCCCTTATGGTCCCCCAAGAACCTTCAGGAGTAATTCCTGAGTGAAAAGCCAGGAGGAACCCCTGAACATTGCTGGGTGTGACCCAAAAAGCAAAAAAAAAAAAAAAAAAAAGATTTTTCCAGAGTACAAGAATACAGGCACCATGATCCAAGATCCAAGAGCCCAAAGGGTCCCAGCAAAAATAGAACCAACTAAAACCTCCAAGATACATTGTGCTTAGAACAACAAAAACCAAAGACAGAAAACCATTGCAAAAAGCAGTGGCTCCATGTAATGCTCATTTGATAGAATTACTGTGAGTCTTATGGGCTTTCCCTTTTATGCAAGTTCCTTTTTCTCCTTTTGCTGGGTCTCTTCGTGTTCTTGGATCACAGTGTTTGTATTCTTCAACTCTGGGAAATGTCTTTTTTTTATTATTATTACTATAAATTTATTTATTGAATCACTGTGAGAGCAATTTCAAAACTTTTGGGTTTAAGTCTTGGTCATACAATAATGAAACACCCGTCCCTTCACCAGTGCACATTTTCACCACCAAAAACCCCAGTATACCCCCCATCCCACACCCCTCCACCCACCTGTGTGGCAGATGATTTCCACATTACTCTCTCTCTACTTTGATTACATTCAGTATTTCGACACCACACTCACCATTATTATTTGGGATTTTACCCCAACACTCACATCTGCCAAAAAGGTAACATTGGACAATTCGTTTCCTATTGCTGATTATCATTAGTATATGATGTCACGTGGCTGCTACTGCAGCTAGGCAATTCTGGAATTCTGAAATCTTAATAATTAAATCTGGAGGGATTTTTGCCAAAAGCCGGTGGTTTTGATTTGTTTCTGAGTCTCTGGGATCATGGCTTAAGCAGCTTGTTGAGTAGCCAGAGGGCCCATTTGTGGTAGGCAATTCGGTGTCTCGTTGAAGCGAGGGAGGAAAGGGTCATCGGCCACACTCCCATCCCATGAGGCCACGCATGTCTCGCCGCTGCGGGCCCCTACCTGGCTGGACATTGGCCCCTGTAAGATGGCAGACCCCAAGCCGCCAGGGGGAACAGGCGGTGGATCGGCACCTTTTACTACCTGGGGAGGCCCGGGGCCGGTAATCTAATATGGAGTCCAGATGCATTTCTGTCAAAAGCTGCTGGGACCGGAGATTTGTCTCTGAGTCTCTGGGATCATGGCTTAAGCCACTTGTTTAGTAGCCAGAGGGCCGGTTCGTGGGTGGCGACTCCAACTCTGAGAAATTCTTAATTATTATTTAACAAATAGTTCTTCATTGAATAACAAATAGTACTTCACTGAATTGGTTCTCAGGGTCTCAGACTATTTTTATGGTATTCTTGCTGAAGTCATCCCATAGTTCTCCGGTGTACTATTCATTTCATTGCAAACTTTATCTTCTATTATTTTCTAAAGGTTTCCTTCATCACATCTTGGATCTTCTTTCCCTCAACTGTTGTTAATATGCTGCACAGGGTTTCCTATGAGTCTTCTATATTACCTACCACAGTCTCCATTTCTGTCATTTCTACTTGTAGTTGTCTCTGTTCAGCTCTCATACTTTCTTGTGCTTTGCTGACAACCTGTGCCATCATTTCTTTGAGCTCATTAAACTTGGTTCTCAAATTCTAGTATCACACCTTAGCCGAAGTGCCATCCCTACTCTAATAATTTTCTTCCCTCATCCACCCAAAACTCATGTGAAATTTTTCCACACCAGTGATTTTTCCACCCCAGTGAAAACTCTTCCATAGACTTAGATACAACCCTCATACCTGTAAAACTCATATACTTCTGGCTGTTGGAGGTCTTCTTCGAGTTATAAAATTCCAATGCATCCAAAACAGCCTGTGGGTTTTTCTTTTGCTCTGACTTTGTGATATTTGATGTCTGAAGCAAGCGGGCCCACTGTTCCGGCATTCCCTATATGAGAGATAAACAAAGACACAGTCACTGGTGTCCCTAAGGAAAAATAAGAGCTAATTCTGATACCTGCTGGCAAGTAAAGTCAGGACTCTTAGTCATTCCTTTCTCTCTATACCATTGAAGCTCTCCACAACCCTCTTCTATAATACCTATCTTATTATATTAGTCATTAAGTTCTTTGATTCTTCAATAAAGAATTCCTTTATTCCTCCAGTAGATCACTGTTCTCATTTTTGATTTTTGTGGTGCCGGGAACTGAACCCAGAGACTCACATGTAAGGCATGTGTTCTACCACTGAGCCACATCTCTGGCACAATTTTACTCCTTTAAAGCAAGAACTAAGTCTGATTTATCTCTGAATCAGCGGTGTCTAGGATTAAACCTGCTGTTAAAGGACCAGTTATCAGAGGTCTAATTAAGAAATAGAAATTTAGAGGGTTTTCTGATAAAGAGAAATTTACCAGAGATGAGATGAGAAAAATATCTCTATACATAAGTATGAGGAAGCAGTAATGAGATTTTCAGCAAAGACAGAGGCATCAGGGAGACTAGACAAGATTAAAAGTAATAGTGCATATCCACAATATCTTCCTGTGACACAGGACTTACTGTAAATTCCCCTGTGATAGCATCAAAGCCAACATGAATTGTGTGCTCAAAATCTGAAGGAAGAGAAATTTCTGGCCGTTCCTTCTCCTTCTTCTTATTGGCTGCATGATAAACAGAAAAATAACTTTAAAAATGAGAATATTACTTCATTTTTAAAGATTTATTTAGTTATTTTTAGAGCTGAAGTTTCTAGAGACTAAGGACTGCTCAACTGACATACTAATTTATACGTTAATTAAACTAAACTTACACTGGAGTTTACAGTAGCATTTAGATCCAAAATGGACAATCAACACAAGACAATACTCCTCAGAGTTAGTAGTCTTGGTTCTACCACTAGTGAGTCAGCGAATCCGAATTAATCCAAAAAGTCACTCCTTTTCTGAATTCTGGCCTCCTCGTTTATAAAAGGAAGAAACCAGAGTATCTGATCTTCAAAGGCCAGCCCTTGGCTTCCTATATTTAACTGAGTTTCCCTAATATGTCTTTCCTCACACCAGTGTTTCTGAAAGTGGGTGATGCCATCCCGGGGTGGGGGTGTCACTGGAACAGTTAAGGGTAATAGCTTTAGGTACTGGGAGACACTTCCTGCTTGACCCTTTGAAGGAGGAGGATTTCCAGTGGGCACTGAGTGATTTTTTTTCTGCAAGGGGGGTGGTAAGCCTTGGAAGTTTAGGAGCCTCTGCTCTACACTAGCTCCATTCTCTACCAACTACACAGAAGCAGCTATAATTCACCAACGGATCCTTTCACAAACCTTCACATTTTTTTAAGCTATTCCCTTTGTCTGTGAATTTTTGTCTTCCCTGGTCCCTTCCCTTGCCACCTCACCAGACAGATTCTTTTATTTATTATTTTCAGGTCTTAGTTTAAAGGTGATTGTTGAAGTTATGCTGGAGCAGCTCTCAAGCCACCTGGATGGGTTACCTGGTGAGAACACTGTAGGGGGTACTAGAGGCAAAAACTTCAAACACTGTAGTAGTACAGACAATGGCAACAAACTGATGCCAGGGGACATAATGCTCCCCAAAACAGTTTAAATTAATAATTTACCATTGGCCGGGCGTGGGGTCGCAGGTTGCCTCTAGAAACCCTGAAGGAGAATAAGCTTTGTTTAGACGGGGTAGAGGTGCTGAGTCTGTGACCCTGGATCTGTTTGTTGCCACACAACCATTAATCTCCCTTTCTTCTCCCCCTTCCCACATGTCATCGCCCTGCACATGTTCCTCTGTCTGTGTGTAATCATTGCTAACCCCAGATAGACTTGCCTACTGACCATGAGTCAATGGCCCACGTTTAGTAATCATCAGTCAGTAGTTCACATCTGTATCTATGAAATATTAGTCTTAGAACATGTGGGAACTGGCTCGTCACACTCAGGTCCAGTACCACAGGATGGTACAGGTCATCTCATCTGTGACGATTTCTCTTAGCTGGTGGGCCAGTTCTAAACCCTCTCCTCTGCCTATCATATTTATCTTCCCAGACACATGGAGTCCCAAGTTCAAATCCTCATAAACTTCCAGAAATTATTGAATTCCTGACATAAAACAGGCACTCAGATAGTACAAAAGAAACAAATAATCAAAAAACCTAATTCGGACACAGCAGTGAATCCTGGAAGACAGCAGCTCACCAGATAACTCTCTGGACCCCATACCAAGCCAATTCCACCGGGCACCTCAGATGGAGTGGGTGTGCCCACTCCAGATGAAACCCCAGTAGCCATGAGCTTCCAGAAGCAAAATCTAGGTACACAGGTTCCTGAATTAAGACTTGCGGCCACATGGCAGCAGCAGAGACAGGCCAGCCCTTCCCATATCCCTACTGGCTTGGGGTCCTGGCTGTCACACCCACAAATTCCCTCTGGGCGCCATCTCAGCACATCAACGGTCTGGATCTGGAGACTCACAAATGAACCTCAAAATGGATTACCTCCCTACAAAAATGTCTCTAGGCCCCAACCATTTACAATTTTAGGATTCCAAAAGTGCACAGCCACTTTTGTGTCTGTGTGACCTCTCATGATATTCATAATTAACAACAGAAAATAAATTATCTAGCATCTGTCCCTAGCAGGCAGGCTTGAATGGTGATGGGAAAATTCAAAATAATGGCAGTGGGAAGGTGTAATGGTGGTGAGACTGGTGTTGAAATACTGAATGTAATCAATTAATGTGAACAACCTTATGAAAATTGAATTATATGTATATATCTGTATCACTGTATCACTGTCATCCCGTTGCCCATCGATTTGCTAGAGTGGGCACCAGTAACATCTCCATTCGTCCCAGTCCTGAGATTTTAGTATCCTCTCCTTACTCATCCTTCCCATTGCTGCCATATTGGAGGCTCTTTCAGGGTCAGGTCAGGGGAATGAGACCCATTATATATAAACTAATTCAACCACGCAAGGATTCTAACAGATCTACCTAAGATGTACTTTCTCTAGGGCAGAAATAAATGCCCGGCAAGCTACCGAGAGTATCTTTTCCCCATGGCAAAGCCTGGCAAGCTACCCGTGACATATTCGATATGACAAATACAGTAACGACAAGTCTCACAATGTTACTGGGCCTGCTAGAGCAAATCGATGAACAACGGCAAGACGATGACAGTGACAGTGATTTTATTTTCATAATCTTTATTATCTGGCTCATCTATCCTGTTTTAAAACCCTGCTCTGTGAGAACTCAGTAAACTGCCCAATATAGGAATGGAGGCACTTAAAGGGGTACCAGTGTACAGGTATGAAAGGACTGAAAAATCACTAGTCTAGAGCCATAATCCAGATTCTCATTTTTTTCATCTGAACAGTGGCAAGAATGGATAAGATAGTACATATGATACTTACAGATTCTATATTCCATGAATCTACAGAAATAGAAATATGAGCTGTCATTCTCTGTAACTAGATTTCTTCCTGACAGACATACTCAATTTTTAGCATACAGATACATCAACTCACATAATCAGCACAATTTCTACTTGCAGATTAGGAAACTTAAACACGGCTTTGGTTCCTCATCAGCACTTGGTGTTGTCAGTTTTGGAATTTGGCCATTCTAAAAGGCATACACTTATATTTCATTGCTTCCTACATGCCAATTTCTAGAGTATTTATGTTATATATGCCTTGGAAAAGATTTTTAATTTTTTTTAATTGAATCACCATGAAATACAAAGTTAAAAAGTTTTCATGATCGGTTTTCAGTCATGTAATGTTCCAACCCTCATCCCTCCACCAGTGTACATTTCCCAACACCTATTTCCACAGTATCCCTCCTACCACGCCACCCCGCCCTCCACTTTTCTTCTTACTCTCTCTCTACTTTGGGGCATTAATGGTTTGCAATACAGATACTGAGAGGACATCATATTTGGTCCTTACCCATGCTCAGCACACATCTCCCATCCAAAATGATCACTCCAAACATCATTGTCATAGTGGCCCCTTCTCTATCCCGAATGCCCTCTCCTCCCAGCTCTTAAGGCAGGCTTCCAATCCTCCTGGCCCTTGTTTCTGCTGTCCTTGGATAATAGTCTCATACTAAGTTATTCTATATCCCACAAAAGAGTGCAGTCATTCTATATCTGTCCCTCTTTTTCTGACTCATTTCGTTCAGCATGATCCTCTCCATGTCCATTCACTTATAAATGAATTTCATGACTTCATTCTTTTTTCTAACAGCTGCATAGTATTCCATCATGTGGATGTACCATCGTTTCTTTAACCAATCGTTTGTTCTCGGGCACTTGGGTTGTTTGTACTTGAAAATTTTTATTTTAGAAGCAGCTGCTTTGAGAAAAGGAAAGCAATGATTTACCAGGAAACAGACCAAGCAATAAATGGTCTGGGATATAACTAAATGGTAGAGAGAATGCTTGTCAGGTATCAGGTTCTTGGTTTCATCCATTGTATTAAAAAAAAAAACCCTAAACAATCATTTATGACCCGAGTCCATGGTCCATACTCATAGCTAGAATGCACTGGACTTTTGGACTGCTCTATTCCCTAATTTCTTCTGATCTAGTCACTTTAAAAAATGTAGAATAATACTGTTAGTTTTATATTTAGATTCTTGTATTTTTACATATTGTTTCTTTATTTTAAAGATATACTATAAAAGGCATGAATATCTAACAAAGGGAACTTCTCAATGGAGACAGAGAAAAGAATTAAAGGATAAAAAGGCATCCCATATGGTCCTCTGAGCACCACCAAGTGTGATTCCTGAGCAGAGAGCTAGATATAACTCCTGAGCATCACCGGATGTGACCCAAAAAGCCAAAAATAAAAAAGAAACCTGATCATGAACAGCTTTGTAACTGTGTATCTCATGATGACTCATAAATAATAAAATAAAATAGGCAAGAAAAAAATGCATATCAGTGCTGTACAGGGAAAGGTTCATGCCATTAGATACAGCTCTGATTCCAGGTGTGTCACACCGGAACCATTAAGCTTCCAACACAGTGTGTGCTAACTAATAAGTAGTCAGTGAAGAATAGCTAGATTACCACTGTTCTTATTCTGAGGAGCAACTAAAGTGAAGAGAATATATGTCTCTGTAAGACAAAGAGCTTTATAAGCATGAGTTACTGTTAACTAAACAAATGTCAAAATATTTCCCAACCTAAGACAATTTCTCTTATCCATTTACAACCAAGAACCAATGGGTGAAGAGGCTGGAGCAGTAATACAGTGGGTAGGGTAACTACCTTGTACTTGGCTGACCCCAGTTCAATCCCTGGCATCACACACAGGATCCCACAAGCTCCTCCAGGAGGGATCCCTAAGTGCAGAGGCAGAGTCAGTCCTGAGCACCACAAGGTATGGAGAAAGAAAGAAAGAAAGAAAGAAAGAAAGAAAGAAAGAAAGAAAGAAAGAAAGAAAGGAAGGAAGGAAGGAAGGAAGGAAGGAGAAAAAAGAAGGAAAGAAAGAAAGAAAGAAAGAAAGAAAGAAAGAAAGAAAGAAAGAAAGAAAGAGAGAGAGAGAAGGGAGGGAGAGAGGAAGAGAGAGAGACAAAGTGAGGGAGGGGAAACTGCTTGAAGAAAAGAAGAAAGAATCATCTTTATTTCATGTAAGTAGAGATGATAA